CTAGAACTAGAAACATTCGGGTTTAGCCGTACGTCTCTTAAGACGGCTAACCCCGAATGATTCTAGTTCTAGATCTAGTGTTAGTTTTAGCATTTTTATTGAACTAAAACTAACACTAGATCTAGCACCAAAACTATCATTAGACCTAGAACTAGAATCATTCGGCTTTAGCCGTCTTAAGAGACGTACGGCTAAACCCGAATGTTTCTAGTTCTAGGTCTAGTGTTAGTTTTAATTCTAGCACCAAAACTATCATTAGACCTAGAACTAGAATCATTCGGCTTTAGCCGTCTTAAGAGACGTACGGCTAAACCCGAATGTTTCTAGTTCTAGGTCTACTGTTAGTTTCAATTTTAGCACCAAAACTAACATTAGACCTAGAACTAGAATCATTCGGCTTTAGCCGTCTTAAGAGACGTACGGCTAAACCCAAATGTTTCTAGTTCTAGGTACATTATAGATATTAAGCAATTCAAATTAAGAATGTGGGTAAATATTGAATAATATTAATATTTATAAAGATTTTGGTTTAAAAATTATTTATTTCATTATAAAGTAAATTTTTCCCCAACATTTTCAATTTGTTCAATAATATAATCCATATCTTCGTAATTTCTCGGCGGATGACACGTTACAACTAATCTAAAAAAATTGCAAAGTCCTTTTGAAGCCATGGGGGTGTAACTTATCATTAAATCTCCTGAAAGAACTAATTTGCTTTTAATATATGGTGCGACTAAATTTAGCTTCAATTTCCACTCGTCATCTTCAGTAACGTTTCGTAAAATCTTCGGAATATAAAAGAAGCAAATTGAAGTTGTATCAACGTTTTCGTTAATCAGTCTAAATCCTTCTTTATTTTGAATGGAGTTTTTAAAATAATTGGAACAATCAACAGCGGTGTCGACCAATTTTTCTAATCCTTGGTCGCCTCGTAATTTCCAAGTTGTCCAAAGTTTAAAAGCGTCGACTTTTCTCCCACACTGTATGCTTTTATCGCCAGTGTCGAAGCTTGTATCGTACATTTTGTCGCTTTGAAATAAATATTTAGCAGAAGCGGAGTTGCAATCCATCAATAAATTTGAATGTTTTGTTAGAAATAATGAACATTGAAGGGGGACCCCTAACATTTTATGTGAATTCCATACTAATGAATCCACATTTTGGATGTTTTTAAGTTTCGATTTGTGGTTTTTCGATAATAAGAGTATTCCTCCGTATGATGCCTTAAAAAAATTTTTTGAGCATTAAAATATTTTTGATTGTTTCTAAATTACATCAACATGCATCCAAATGTTATATTGTTTACAAATTTCTTGGATTTTATCAATTGGGTCGATTGCCCCAAAAATGGTGGTTCCAGCGGTGGCTATAACGACAAGTTTATCTTCACTTTCAGAACAATTTAAAATATTCTCTTCGAGATCTTTAACACACATCCTTCCGTTTTTATCCGTTTTAATTTTTTTAACATTTTCAGTTCCGAACCCCAACCAATTCGCCGATTTTATTATGGAATAGTGCCCCTAAATCAATTCTTTATTACAAACAAATCAGATTTATCATCAACCTTTACCTCTTCAGAAACGAAAATTATTAATTTTTTACATCCAAATAACCCCTTTTCTTTTATTTCCGGGTACTTTAAGTATCTCGCTAACATGATACCGTACATATTAGCTATGCTACCCCCAGGGCAAAAAATGCCATCATAATTTTTATAACCGACGACGTTTGCAAATTTTTTAATCACTTCTTGTTCGATTAAAGTAAAAACGGGGGAAACTTCAAAAGTGTGTTGATTTGTATTTAAAGATTCGGCTAATAAAGTTCCAGCGAAACCGTAAAGATCAACACCGCCATAAAGTTGATTATAAAAGTGTTTGTGACACGTTTTTACGCTGTAATTAATTATTTTTTTGATTTCTTGTAGAAAATTTTCTTTCGATCGTGTTGGTTCGCCTAAATTTAAATCTAATAAACCATCCTAAAAATTAAAAACATTAAATAAATAAATAAATTAATACATTTCGTTACCAATAATTCATGAGGATGCTTAAAATTTATCACCGGGCTATTTTCCGGGATTAATACTCCTTCGATTTCGATGATATCAAATATTTTTTTAACGTACTCCAAAGCATCTTTTCGATCCATCGTTTTAAAGCGAACTAACACTACTTAAAAGAGGCAATACGGAACGTACCGTTAGCTTTATTTTAAACTTACTGACCTAAAAAAATCGTTTTATTTCGCTTAAATTTGCTTATCAAAATAATTTATTTTTTATGCTTTTTTAAAACAATGTTTTAATTTTTAATAATTTCTGATTCGATTTTTAAACAAAAAAATGAAAGATTTTGATCTGATTCAACTTGTGCAAATAGATATCCCAGCGGATTATATCTTAATAAGTCAAAGTTGGTTCTAATAAGACTACAACCAAAGAGAACCTCTATAGAAATGCCAAAAACTCTCCCATTGGAAACTAGATTCGAAAATATCCTTGTTGGAAAAAATATACTTTGCTGTTATACATATACAGGGTGTTCCGGTGACTCGGGGCATAAAATTAACCTCATATAGTAGAGCAAAAATGATGACGATTCGTGAAAAAAAATTATTATAAAAGTCTTCAAATGGCCAAGATATGGGCCATCAAAGTTCAGAAATTTTAACACATTTTTCTAAATATTTTCAATACCATTTATGGTAGAGCGTTGAAATTTGGTACAGGGTAAACAAATATCAAGCAAAATCATTGAACCAATTTTGATCGGGCGGCGACAACCATTATACAGGCTGTCCCTAAAATTTGTTTGCCCAGAACTTTTTTGTTCGCTCGTAACCTTACATTTATTTTTGTACTTTTTAATAGAAAATTTATTTTAGAAACTTTTATCACTCTTTGAAAATTTTGATAACATTGACTGTTTTCGAGTTATACGCGAAAATATTAAGAATATATTAATTATGTCGTTTAAACACAAACGATAGTTCTGTTAGTTAGTTATTATTAATTTTAAGTGTTCAAAATGGAGAGTTACACATTTAGTGAACAAACTGACATGATTTTGACATTAGGACAATGTCAATGCATATTGCAGTCGCAGTGGGCAATTGGCCAGTCTGCGCATTTGGCATATTGCCAAATAATGCAGCACAAAATCCAAATTGATGATCAGTTCTAAAGATGAATCATCACTGAGAAATTTACATAGTTGGGCAGACGAAAATTTATTTTTTTTAAGAAAACTTGGAAATCACACTGGAGATTTTCTCATAACGTTTGGGCTGGCATTGTGGGCGACGTAATTATTGGACCCGTTTTCTTACCATCAAGGCTGGATGGACATACATACAGGCGACATTTAGAGAAATTAGATGATTTTTGAGATGATGTTCTTTTAAACACAAGGCAAGCAATGTGGTATATGCATGATGGTGCTCCTGCGCATAAAACACAGGCTGTCCAAGAATTTCTGAGGAAACGTTTTCCGGGACGGTGGATTGAACGAGGAGTAGGTGCACCCATAAGTTGGCCCCCCGATCGCCGGATCTTACACCTGTAGATTTTTGTTTATGGGAACGCGTTAAATCGCTAGTTTACTGCGTTGAAATAACTTCACTTGATCAACTGAGGTTGCGAATTGTTGATTCATTTGATCAACTTCGAACTGAGATCAATGGTCTCCGCAGAGTGCGCTTTAATTTAAGACGGCGATATCAGGCAGTGTTTTTGAACATCTGCTTTAGTATTTTTTTCTTCTTTTTTATTTATTACTATTTGTTTATAATTTTATTGTTCTTGTTAATATTTGTGTTAGAATTTTTGTTATGTTCTTGTTTGTTGTTACCGTGAAAATTAAATTTATCGTTTTGGAAATTACATTCTTTTATTCAACTAAAATAAATTAACGCTGGATTTAACTAAATCTGCACTTAGAAATTTATGCAAATAATGGTTATTAGCTCAGTTCGTTTTTCAATTGTCATCGCCAACTCAGATCTTACGGAATATGTTTCCTTTTTTTTGTTTGTTACGATTGAAATCAAAGCTTAACATTTTTGCGTATAACTCGAAAACGGTCAATGTTATCAAAATTTTCAAAGAGTGATAAAAGTTTCTAAAATAAATTTTCTATTAAAAAGTACAAAAATAAATGTAGGGTTACGAGCGAACAAAAAAGTTCTGAGCAAACAAATTTTAGGGACAGCCTGTATAGCATGGTTGTCGCCGCCCAATCAAAGTGAAAATTAGTTTAATGATTTTGCTTGATATTTGTTTACCCTGTACCAAATTTCAACGCTCTATCATAAATGATATTGAAAATATTTAGAAAAATGTGTTAAAATTTCTGAACTTTGATGGCCCATATCTTAGCCATTTGAAGACTTTTATAATAATTTTTTTTCACGAATCGTCATCATTTTTGCTCTAGTATATGATGTTAATTTTATGCCCCGAGTCACCGGAACACCCTGTATACTGAATTTATAACTTGCTACATCCAGCATCTGGCCGATCCAATCTTTCTTGCGGTAAATTATTTTGAATATAAAGAAGTGAGATTTTGTGTTTAGTTGTCGAATTGTTCTGGGGTAAGCTAGTAAGGAGTTTGAAATGATGCGGAAGTCCATTGGACCATCTGGAAGCTGCATACGTCATTAGTAGAATAGAGTAGTATAAAATTTTTGAGTCTTAGGTTGCTATTGCGAAAGATGAGATATTATTAGACACTCCTGATGTAATTGGTTTGGTTATGGATAAGGTAGAACTAAGTTTAACTTGGATTTTGCGGGAGGAAAGGATTTATTGAGTTTATATAATTGGAAGCAAAATTCATTTTTAGTGATGACTACCAATAAGGACTATCTTCAAGTCTCTTTGCCAAGGAGTCTTAATGATCTGGGCTACACTTTTGCTGAGCTTTGTACTTGATTTTCCGCTTGTACCGGACATGAATTAAGTCAACTTTTGCAATTTAATTAAATAATTTGCTTTATTAATAATAACTCATTCGATCTTTCTACAAGAATTAAAATTTGATATCGAATATATTCTGGGAGTATGAATTTAATGATTTTTATTATATTTAATCTAAAGAAAAATTAAAACAATGTATTTAACATTGTATTAATAAAGTGTGATTTAACAAGTTTCTTATCTAAAATAGTGCTTGTTTGCAATTCATCCGAATAAATAAACGTTAATAATATTCGACGTTCCCGTCACATTAAATCTGACCCTCAAGATCAATTGCAATTATTTTTCTATTAACCGTAATGATAAGCAATGTCAAAAACGCAAATAACATGTTCAAACAACACTCTCAAAAACAAATCTTTATTAAATAATAAGTCAAATATACTAACCTCTCCCCGGTTTCTCTTAATGTTCAGAAAAGCCACAAAATGAATGGGTTTAAAACGAATTTAATCACTTTTGATGTTGTACGAAAATTTTTTTAAGTAATATTAGAAAAAAGATGTAATTGAAGTTGCCTAAGTTAGACGAAAATTTTCGTTACATTTTTCATTCTAACCGAAATCGAACAACCGTTGATATATCTATCTTTTTCTTATACATAACTAATACATAGTCTGTCTTTAAACCAGTGGCGTTTCGCTCGACTTAACCTGTAATTGGCGGCCGACCCGCTGTGAACATTGTTATTGTGATGTCATTCTAAATTAATACTTCGTCTGTTTCGGTTAGATCTTGTTGAATATGAACGAATCTTCATGAAAAACATGCGGATACCAACCAGGCCAGCCCCTTCTATTGAAGAGGCTCGTCGAAACAAAAATAACCAACAACAAAAGTAAGTATATGTTGATATAATCAATATATATCACACCTACCTAAAACATCAATACACCAAAATAATCCTTTTTATAGAAATACTCAAATGCAAAAAAATATCAAAAAGAAACCGCCACCACGTCCGCCGCCACCTGATTTATCAAAAATTCAAAAAAGTAAATCAACATGGGTTTTAAATCAAAAAGATGATGATTGTATGATCGAGTGGAGCCCACCGTGTTCTCCAAAAACAAGTCGTTTAGTTAGTGGAAGTATATCAAGTTCTTTTAATAGTAGCACCAGTAGTTTGGCTTCAAGTAAAAAAAGTTTCGACATGGAATCATCCCCTTTTAACATAAGCCCATGGAATAGTGGCCTTCAAACCTCCGCTCAAATCAATATGCCTACCATAATCAGGGCTCAACCACCAAAAAAATCAGCCAAAGCAAGTGTTAAAGTGCCTTCGATAGTTCCTGGAACTTCTAGAATGCCTAATTCGAATTATTCACCACCAATGCCTACAATACCACCACCAAGTCCTCCAAAAGATGTTTCTGATGGAATTGTACCCTTCGGATTGGCTTTGTTTAATTATGCTGGTAATCATCCTGATGATCTTCCTTTACAGGTATATTATACTTTTTTTTATCATATTTTCTACCTTTCTATAAATAGAGGTTATTCATTAATTAAAATTCATTTCAAATTATAGTGGTAATGAGTTATAAGTCATCCAAATTTCACAAAAATCCTAGTCAAAAAAAATTATCAATGTTATTCCAGATAAGAATTATCAAGCAAAATCGATAATAAACATTATTATCTTTAAATTAACATTTAATTATAAACAAATCATAAATACAATAAAATTTCGATATAATGGATTTCATATCATATAGATATATTTTAGTTTTGATGCTAGAACTAACACTAGAACTAGAATCATTCGAGGTCAGCCATTTTAAGAGAGTGTTAGTTCTACTTTTAGTTCTAGCACCAAAACTAACATTAGACCTAGAACTAAAATCATTCGGCTTTAGCCGTCTTAAGAGACGTGCGGCTAAACCCGAATGTTTCTAGTTCTTGGTCTAGTGTTAGTTTTACTTCTAGCACCAAAGACCTAGAACTAGAATCATTCGGCTTTAGCCGTCTTAAGAGACGTGCGGCTAAACCCGAATGTTTCTAGTTCTTGGTCTAGTGTTAGTTTTAGTTCTAGCACCAAAACTAACACTAGATCTAGAACTAGAAACATTCGGGATTAGCCATACGTCTCTTAAGACGGCTAATCCCGAATGATTCTAGTTCTAGATCTAGTGTTAATTTTAGTTCAATAAAAATGTTAAAACTAACACTAGATCTAGAACTAGAATCATTCGGCTTTAGCCGTCTTAAAAGACGTACGGCTAAACCCGAATGTTTCTAGTTCTAGGTCTAGTATTAGTTTTAGTTCTAGCACCAAAACTAACACTAGATCTAGAACTAGAAACATTCGGGATTAGCCATACGTCTCTTAAGACGGCTAATCCCGAATGATTCTAGTTCTAGATCTAATGTTAATTTTAGTTCATTAAAAATATACATCAATCTAACGCTGAATAACAATTAAATCAATTTTGGCTTATTACTGATTACTTAAAATCATTCCGAATCAATTATTAATCATTATTTATAGAAAAGAAGTTATTTAAAGAAAGGAAGATATATTAATATACACTGAGGGTCAATTAGAGTCATTGAGAGCCTTAAAAATAGAAAATTATTCATTGAGTTAATTAATTTGAAATGATTTAAAATTAAATTTATCTATTTTCTTCAAAAATTAATCAATTTCTAATCGATTTTAAATACAACGCCATTGCAGTCGTAATCGGAGCGAATGAAACGAATTTTATCGATTAACAAAAGCTCGTAACTCATAAAAAAAAAAACGTAAACCTTATTTTGGCTTACCGTACAAAAAAATGTATGGAAATGAGTGAGTCACCGAAATGAGAATTAAATAACTTAGTTTAACTGGGTAATAACATTTTAAATTTATATTTTAATTAAAAGGAATAATACAAATATACAAATACATAAAATAAATAATAATAATAATAATGAATTTTCACCCTGACCTTGACGTTTCCATAAATTTACTCGGTACCTTTCCTGGTTGGTTCCTCCGCGTTGGCAGCTCTCTTCGATTTCTTGATATAACGTCCATTTCCCGGGGTCCATTTCCGTTTCCCTTCAATTCTTACAGTCACCGGTAACGCAGGTTGTTCCTCTTCGCGTTTTATTTCTTGTTCCGGTATCGGCTGATTTGGTCTCATTATATAATAGGTTTGATGTGAATTGTTCAAATTTGAAGAGGTACTGGGTTGTTGAAAGCTTGAAATTTCATTAGGAAATGTTATTGGGGGAGTGGGTTCATAAAGAAATGGATTTTCGTAATGAGTAATCGGATAATTTTTGAAAAATTCTATAGTAGAGCCTATGAGGGATTTCCACATTTTCGTTAATTGCAAAGCTTCTTCTCTTTTAGCGACGACAAGGTGATACATTTCCATCACTACATCGCGCGTTAAACGTTTCGAACCGGTAATTCTTTGATATTCGTTTATTTGTGCGGTCGTAAAGAGATCAATGCATTTCAAAATAACGCGATTATAATAATGTTGGAGTCTTGCTAATGTTTCTTCGAATGAATGGTCGAAGAAATCAATTGGGGCAAGGCGACGTTCTCTTACCAATGGTGTTGGAGGAAGTCGATAAGTTGGGTGATAAGGAGTAATTGTTGGATAAGTTTGCACCGGATAAACAGTTGGCGTTGGGGATGGAAAATATTGGGGTGGTAGCGAAGGATAGGGAGGAAGAGGAGTAGGAATTGGTCGAAATGGGGTAGGGGCGGGGGTTGATGGTTCATAAGTAGATTTTGGGATATTTACTGGATTCACTATTTCTATTCTTGGAGTATTTTCATTCATATTGTTGATGTTATCGTTGTTATTGTCATTGACGAAAACTTGCGGATAGAATTGATGATTCATTTTGCTTCTTCAATTTGCCGTAGGATATGCACCCAACACTTTAACTGGTTTAAAGAGAACTGAAAGGATTGTTGTGTGTTAGAATTGTTTTGAAACTGATAGAATAAAGTTTAGATTCTTACCGTGGAATAATTCTTCTTCACCGTTCGGATTGTTGAAAACAAATGGTTTTTAATCTATGAGTTACCCAGAATTATTGGTAATTTCGCATTGGTGGGGAGTAGTTAATTGAGGGATTGGCTGGTTTTGTGGATGATTAAGGTGCTAATCTTTATTCACGAATTGTTGCGCGCGATAAATTAAAAAAAAAAGAAAATAGTAACTATTATTTCTTTTTTATTGGCCTTTAAAATTTTTTGAAGCAAAAATTAAAAAAAATAATTATAATTGTACTGAAAATAATTAATTAATAAATAATACAAACACCAAAAGCGATTGAGTTTTATCGTTATTACTCACTTGCTATTTATCAATAGAAAAAAAAGAAAACATCGTTTACTACTGATTCAACAGCGTTTTGTTAATTCTTAATTATGAATCAAAAATTGTTTTTCTCAATTAATTAATTTTTTTTTTAAACTTACAATCAACAAATGCGCTTATAAAATCATTTCCCAGAAACTCGAGATATAGGAATATTTATGAAACTAAAGCTGCAGCTTAAACAATTAAATCGTGTTTGATATAAGTTAATCTTGCTTCTTTCATTTCAACGTGAGTTGCTATATTTCAAGGCCAACATTAATTTCAAAAGTATTTTGTCCTAATTTGGCCGAAATAAATAAAATTTTATTATTTTTAAATTAATTTGATTAAATTAAGTAGTTTAACCTTAACCTTGATTTTTTTATTTTTATTCTGTATATAATGCTAAATTATATATGTTTTGAACAACAATTAAGTCTACCTGATTTGCCAACTACCTGCTACTTGATCATATTAATTAGATTGACTGATTATGACGATGTCGATAATAAATTGAACAATAGACACAGTGTCATAAGCATGATTTAGTCAAATTAAACTGAGGTTGCTTACAGCCGAGGTTCTAGAATTAACACCACTACAAGTCAAAACTGGTTAATAAAGCAGCATCTTGGCAGTCACCCACCACTCAAAACACAGTCTCGATGAAGCTGAGGATGCAGAAAGTATGATTTAGCCAAACTAAGCCGAGATCGCTTGCGGGCGAGGCTCAACAATTAATACTACAAGAACTCAAAAGTGCTCAATACTGTAGGGTTTGGCTACAACTGGACATCATGTTATATACTTTTAATTAAGTTTGTAAACTATTCCAGGTTGGATGCAAACTTTTATATGTTTTGAACAACAATTGGGTAAACCTGAATTCTCAAAAGTAATATTCTATATTCTAACTCACCCTGTGCTATATGTGTTGTCCAATTTAATCTCGGTGCGGCATCAATTACCTTAAGTTTAGTCGTTTTGGGTTGTAGCCAAGATGCCTCGTCTTAATTTCTTACTACGTCTTTTGCTCGTTTTGAAAACGACATAACAACCTCTCAGTTTGAGTCAAAATGGCGATTACTACATTTTCCTAAAGATTTATTAATCGATGTCAGCTCTGTTTGAAGCTATACATATTATATTCGTTGCGTATTAAGAAAATATGAAGTGTACAACAATAGGGTAAATAACAATATGAATGAATAGCACCCGATAAGATTATGAATTGCGTACTATCAACAAATAAATCTTGAAAGTTACTTTGAAAATCGCTCAAATAACTAATATCTTAGTTTTCGAGGAAAATCCCAAAATGTTGAGCTCGGTAAGACTATGAATGATATTTCGAGTCGTTATTAATTGTAATTTTTTTATCAATTGTCATTCCCGTTTTGGTCAATTATTATTCATTTTTCATCAATTTTTATTCTTTATCACGTTTTATTTTTATTTTATCACTTTTTGTTCCGTTTTTATCAAATTTTATTCTTTTTTATCAAACTTTTATGCTGTTTCTTATCAATTTGTATTCCTGTTTTATAAATCTAGCTTTTTTTAAAGTTTATGAAAATAAAATAAAAAAATTAACTCACATTCCTGCGTCATCCGCTGTCATTATTGACCAAATACTTATTTTCTGTATACAGGTTGGTTCAGATTTTAATCGGGAAACTTTACTAGGACATAGTACTAAAATAACACAAGTTTTTTGTCTCTTTAGTTTTTTCTTTAAGTAAAGAGATAAAAAAGAACCATTAAAGAATGAGTTTTACAACCCATATTTTTTTATGTTAATATTCCATTGCGTTAAAAATTTATTATTTTTTAAAAAAATTAATTATTTGGTATAACCTAACTCTAAATAATCTCTTGCAACCTCAAAATGGTTTTATTTTTTAATGGAAACTTAAAATTTGATACAACCCAACCTCAAATAATCTGTCACAACCTCAAAATGGTTTTATTTCTTAATTATAATCGATTTAGGAGAAAATAACACTTCATTTAATTCAACTTTTTTCAAAAATTTTTATTGTTCATCGAGAAAATTTTAAATTTCTTACAAACTATCCTCAAACATTCTTTTACAATACCACGAAATTTCATTTCTCAATTCCAAACCGTTTATGAGTAAAAAAAAATTTAATTATTTATGGATTATATTTGCATTATGAAATTATTCATTGTGCTTGTTTTAATCTTTCGTTGATAGTAACATAACCAGATAAAAAAAAACTGTTGATTAGATTGAAATAGAATAACTGGATCGGATTTTTTTTAATTATCGCAAAGAAAAAAATGTATGAGTAATAAATATTTTTATTTGAAAAATGTTGGTTACAAATTACTACATGATTATATGATATAATTTATAATTTAAGTAACAAAGTGGCCGATATAAATAGATTAACAATTGGTAGAATTGAATTACAATAAAAAAATTAGCCTTTCGCACTTTGAACTTGAATAATTAATAAAATCATTTCATAGCGGCATTTGAAGTATGGCTAAAAGTGTTGTTATTATTATGAAAATTCATTCTTTTCTTTTTGGGCTCATTCACATCTTCAGTGCTCCATTTGCGTTTTAAAGTATTATTAAGTACTTCCCCCCTATTTTGAGTATCTCCACTTTGTCCAAATCTATATACTGGTCTATTTGCAGCTTGACCATAATCGAGATAAGCATAATAAGCCGCAATATTAAATTGTTCTTGTTCGCTAATTACAACAAATGGGGGAAGAATTGTGTAATTAGACATTGGCGAATTTTGAAAGAATGCAGCTGTTTTTTGTAAAACATTAACCCATTGGCGATCCAAAAAATCAACTTCTTGTAGCTTTGTACGCATAACTCGTGACATTTCTGCCAAAACGTTAGGTGGAAATAATCTGCTTGATGTATGCCTTGCATACTCAACGTTTTGATACAGTGTATAAGCAGAGAGATTTCTATCAATTACATTATTGTAAAACGCTGTTACTGGGTTTAGGCAGCTCTCCCAAGCTGTTAATGGGTACAATTCGGGTCTTTGAGGGCGCATAAAAATCGATTTTAAAACCGGATCTGTTCTCCAACGAGCTTCTTTTTCATCCAAAGATTCTTGGTGCGTAGATGATGTTGTTGCCGTTTGTTGTGGTGGCGGCGGATAGTGAGGATGAGCACTCATTCTAGTCTAAATAAAAAAAAAATTTAAGACTTGAATCATTTAATTTTTTTAATTTGTTACCTCTTACACTGAACAAAGCTCACAAGAAACTAATGACGAAAAGGTGTTCTTATTGTTAGTTGTTTTATAGTTGATAGAAAAAGAAAAAAGGTGATTTATATGGCGCGCATGCTTATTAAGATTTTTTGGAGATTTCTATTAAATTTGTTTAACGCTTTGGTAATAGATGGCTCTAAATGATTTAATTTTTTCCACAGGAAAACGACATAGTCTACTTAATCAAGCGTTTAGATAAGGATTGGTTATATGGAAAAGTGGGTGATCGAGAAGGAATGTTTCCGCGTTCATTTATTGAGATAAAAATACCGCTCACTGATGAAGAAGATGTGGTAACGGCTTTATACGAATTTGTTCCCCAAATGGTTGGGGATCTCGCCCTGAAACCTGGTCAAACCATCAAGGTGCTACGTAGGGTTTCAGACGAATGGTTATTGGGTGAATCGGATGGTATTCGCGGACAATTTCCAGCTAATTTTATCGATCGAATTCCATTGGGTATTTAATTTAAATTAAACAAATTAAACAATTTATAAAAAATATCCTAGCTTATTTATCTGAAATTTTGTAATGATATTGATATTGAATATTTTTTTATTAATTTATTAATTAATTGATTTCGAAAATAATGAAAACAGGGTAAAAAATTTTAAACGCAACAGAAATTTTTTATTACAAGCATCCACAAATCTTTCTTTTTTTTGTGTATTTGTTAACTAGTTTTAACGAAGTGTAAATATTCTCCTCGCTTCTGTTAGTACCAATTATTTTTTGTTTGTTTTAAAAAAAAAGTATTAGTTGATGGTGTGATAACGAAAAAGAAGATTTTGTATTTGTTAATATGACCGTTTAGTTTATATACATTCCAGGTATTTTTCAATATCTATTCTAATCACGAAATAATACTCCACGTGAAAATTTATTCTTCTCTTGTAAACTGTATTTAACACAACCGTATACAAAAATTAAAAAAAAAAAATAGAACGTGAAACGTTTGAATATATATATTTTTGTAATCTACTTATACATGTAAAAGCAATAACAATGATTAAATAAAAAATGTGTACTAAAAATCGAGTTTTATTCATAAACAGTAAAACCTCTTTAAATTGTATTTTTAGGATTTTGATGAAATTTTAAATAAAAAAAAATCATTTGATATTATATTTTTATTTAAAGAAAAAAAACTGCAATTCTACAAGATTTGAAACGATCAACGTATAACAGTGACGGGGGTGTTAACAAATTTGGTCTGTTAACGACAACGAATTGACAAATTGTTTATATAGAGACGCTAAATTCTCGCACGTGTATTTTTTATTTTCTTACTTATCGAATTAATAAGCATTATTTTGTCTTCTTCAATTCCATCGACATGATTCTATTCATTTTTTTAAAATGATATACTTAATTAATCATTAATTGAATTAATAAACCGAAAAATTATATAATCGTGTTTATTATTTTCTAATTTTTTTTATTAATCTAATTGATAAATACACTTCATTTGTACCAAACATTTTCCGCTTTTTTATTATTTTTTTTTTTCTTCAAAAATGATTAGTTACAATAATTAATGTCTAAATTAATAATTAATTTTTACCAAATTTCCCAAAAAAAAATTTTTTTTACTTTTATTTACAAAACTTATCTTACCTGAGACAACAAATTGTCAGTCTTATACAGTAAACGTTAAGTATCTACAATGGTGAGTAAAAGAAAAGAAAACAAAACATTTTCTTTCCTCAGCCACTGTAAAAACCGATTTTTTTTAATTTGGCAAATTAATTAAAATAAATAACATTAACCAGCAATAATAATTTGATATACAAAAAATGAAAAATTCAACTGTTTTTTTTTGCGCAATAATAATAAATTAATATAATTAACCGTTTCAGCAATTTTCTTTTTCTAATACAATTCCCTTACTGTATATACACAAATATATATACCATTATTTATCACATATATTTCACATATTTACAAAAAAAACGACTCGGTGCTTTCTAACAAAGTTTCTTTAAGCGCGTAAAGATTTCTGTTTATTCATATTAATATTCTTAACGCTAATCTGGCCGATAAATAGGAATTTTTGGTAAAAATTCTATCAGAATGACGTACTCCATCATAGATGACGAATCACAGTGTTGCTTCGATAGTCTCCAGTGTAACCCCAACTTATGATATAAATAACTATTCTCCCATTCCAACAGTTTATTTAACGAATGCTGTGTCTGCAAAATCCAATAATATTGTTAGTTTTTGAATGATTAGATATCATTATTAGATTATTACAATTAAATATTTAAAATGCAAGATAACCAAAATGTGTAAGTAAACATATTAGTTTTATGATAAAAGAATCGACGCATTTATTTTTACAGCACTTGAACACACCAAAAAATACTGATAAATAACGAAATTCTATACTTATGAACGAGAGAATATTACAGAAAAATAAAGATCTTAATAAATACAAAGCACGAAACAAGTAAATTCGAAGAGTTTGAACATGATATAAGAAATAATCTCAGCATAATATCATATAATTTCTTATATCATAAACAATAAATCGGATTGGGAGCATACTACAAAAAAATTTTTACAACAAAACTTGTAGCAAATTTCATTCTTAACAATATTGCTCTCTTTCACTTTTGCTCTCAGATGCATAAACATCGAGAAAGATATACAAATTTGCTGAATTCGTAGTTTTACAAGTTATTAATTGTATCACTCGGGATTTGGAGCGTGAAACCAAGTTTAAAGTTTGAAGTTTTTGGCAGAAATATCTCGGCCGACTTCGAAGATGTCGGCCGCCCTAAGTATTGTTCATGATATTTGGGGCGGCCGACGTCTTCGAAGTCGGCCGAGATTATTTCTTATGTCATGAACAATACTCAGGAATCGGAGCATGTTATAAAAAAACTTTTAGAACAAAAGTTGTAGCAAATTTAATTCTTAACAATATTGCTCTTTCACTTTTGCTCTCAGATCCATAAATATCGAGAAAAGTGCGAAAATATGAAAAGTGGATGAATTTGTTGCTTTTTCAAGTTGTTAATGGCAACGCTCGAAAAACGGAGCCTACTACAAAAGAACTTTTAAAACAAAAGTTGTAGCAAATCTCATTCTTAACAATAATGCTCTCTTTCAGTTTTGCTCTCAGATGCATAAATATCGAGAAAAATACAAAAATATGAAAATTGGATGAATTTGTTACTTTTTCAAGTTGTTAATGGTAACGCTCGGGAAACGGAGCATGTTATAAACAAACTTTTAGAACAAAAGTTGTAGCAAATTTAATTCTTAACAATATTGCTCTCTTTCACTTTTGCTCTCAGATGCATAAATATCGAGAAAAATACGAAAATATGAAAATTCGGCTCAAGTATTACGCATAATACTTATGGCGGCCGACGTCTTCGAAGTCGGCCGAGATTATCTCTGTTGATATAAGAAATAATCTCGGCCGACTTCGAAGACGTCGGCCGCCCCAAGTGTCACAAACAATATTTAGGGCGGGAAATTATTTCTTCCTTAAACTTCAAGCAGAATAGGCTTGTTCCCACGCCCCGAATCACAAGTGCAAATTTTCGTATTTTTCTCGATATTTATGCATCTGAGAGTAAAAGTGATAAAGAGCAATTTTATTAAAAATAAAATTTGCTACAAGTTTTTTTCTAAAAATACGTAAATATGAAAATTTTCTTCCCTGCTTGAAGTTTATAGAAGAAATATCTCGGCCGACTTCGAAGACGTCGGCCGCCTCAAGTATTACGCACACTACTTATGGCGGCCGACGTCTTCGAAGTCGGCCGAGATTATCTCTGTTGATATAAGAAATAAGCTCGGCCGACTTCGAAGACTTCACAAACAATATTTAGGGCGGGAAATTATTTCTTCCTTAAACTTCAAGCAGAATAGGCTTATTCCCACGCCCCGAATCCCAAGTGATACCATTAACAACTTGTAAAAATACAAATTCAGCAAATTTTCGTATTTTTCTCCATATTCATGCATCTGAGAGTAAAAGTGATAAAGAGCAATATTGTTAAGAATAAAATTTGCTACAACTTTTTTTCTAAAAATACGTAAATATGAAAATTTTCTACCTTGCTTGAAGTTAAATACTTTAAATACTTATGGCGGCCGACGTCTTCGAAGTCGGCCGAGATTATCTCTGTTAATATAAGAAATAATCTCGGCCGACTTCGAAGACGTCGGCCGCCTCAAGTTTCACAAAGAATATTTAGGGCGGGAGATCATTTCGTCCTTAAACTTTGATATTTATGCGTCAGAGTAAAAGTGATAAAGAGCAATATTGTTCAAAATAACATTTGCTACAACTTTTATACTAAAACTTTTTTCTAAAAATACATGAATATGACAATTTTGGTCCCTGCTTGAAGTTTATAGAAGAAATATTTCGAAATATCAAGTATCACAAATCTAAACAATCTTTAGGGCGGGAGATTATTTCTTACGCCCTGAATCCCAAGTGACACCATTAACAACTTGTAAAACTACAAATTTTCATATTTTTTTAAGAGTAAAACTTTTTTCTCAAATGTTCTGAATCCTGTGAGCTATCATAACAATGTTAAACCCTGATTTGATCTAATTTTCACATCTTTCTTGATATTTATACATCTAGAAGCAAAAGTAACCAAGAGCAATATTGTTAAAAATAAAATTTGCTACAACACTTTTTTCTAATACAACATAATTTTTCATTTATTTTAGACAATTACTTACCCTTTTACTTAAACAAATTACAGGCCATAATGAACATCCTAAAGTACAACAGCAACATAAGCAGCCACAAAACAACCATTTGACATTAACAGGTAATGTTTTTTTGAGTACGCTGTTTATCCTCATGACGGTTTCTTGAAACTCTTCTGGGGCAACTCTTGAAACTAACCCACTAGGAAATTCGGTACTAAAACGATTACTCAATCCAAATCTAAACAAATCATCTCATAAATAAAAGTTACTCATACACAAAGCGAATAACTTACACGGTCATATTTCCAGCTCCACGAAGTATCACTGGATCGGGCACGGTGGCTACATCTCCTGGCTCAGCTTCTTCAGGATTTTCTTCCTCATCTTCGTAATATATCGCATCAAATCCCTCCATTTATGTTTTTTTGATTAATATAAAGAAACGAGTAGGTTTTTGCTTAAGAGTTAATAAAAAATGACGTCGAAGATCTTATTTATAATGTGGGTTGTGTATTTTCTAACGTACACTTTTTGATGGATTTTAAACGGTTTTTAAGTTTAATTTGGTCTCTCCGATACAATATATTTTAAACAACGTGTTGTTCGATACCTTTGTTTGTTCTCTGCTAAATGTTAGTCATTTTCGGTGTACGTTCATGAATTTATTTTCTACGCAATATTCAAGGTCGTTGTTATTTAAGAACGTATCCTCGTTGTAGATATGTATAGAAAACTTCAAAAGTTATCTAATCGATATGATTTATAGTAAATTTATTTAACCCTTGCGTCTTAATCCTTTATATTCTTCGCGATTTCGATATCTTTCATCATCTTTCTTCGTTTTTTTTAAATATTTTGTTGTATTACTTATGATACGTTCGGTATATTATCAATACCAACTTAAATCCTGAAACAAAATTAAAATTCTAAAAGTGTATGCTAAAGGAAATTTAATAATTTGTTTTAATAAATTATTATTTTTGAAAATTTTCTAATTGAGTGGGAAATTTTTTTTTATTCAACAACGACAATAATCTAGGACAGATGGAGACGTAAAATGTGAGAGGTGCATTGCTAGAGAGTCCATTGGCAGTTTTATGTTGGAAGGGAAACGGAAAGCATCGAGAGCCGCTTAAGGCCAGCTGTACAGGCTGTTTGCCGTTTTTTTTTCTCAACTTCGACGTCTTTAAACTTCTTAACAAACAACCGCGTCGTCAAAACGGAAGTAACACACTAATTAACCCAAAAAACAGAGAAAAAGACAAAGTAAGTGTATTAAAAAAAATTTTTTCAGCTACATTTTTCGAACACGTTTTTATATCGACGTCTTTAAGGAGAGGTTACGGATCAATTAAACGATTTCTAATCCTAACATATTTTTTTTTAGAACAATCACAACTTAATAATCATGGCTAGAGGTCAACAAAAACTCCAGTCTCAAGCCAAAGCAGCTGAGAGATCTGCCAAAATGAAGAAGCAACAGGGACACTCTGCCACTGATCAGAAAAAAGCAGCTCAAAAGGCGCTCGTACACGTTTGCGTCGTTTGCAAGGTAAGTTATTAGCGCAAACCGTGCAGAATGGAAGAGAAAGTAAATCCCCGCTTTCAATTTAACAATAGAAAACCATCTCTAATTGGTCAATTACGGGACTTTTTTAAATAAAACTTGCCAAATAATTTAATTCGTAACTTTTTTTATGATTAAACAATTGATACTTATCTTAAAAGTGTGATAAAAACTCTGTGTATTGTTTTAAAGTAATCCGATATCTATAATTAATTTTTTTAGTGTTTGAAAACAATTTTCATAACTTGAAGACAGTTACATTTTTGTTGTTTACTTAAAGCAATTCCAAACAACCTCAATATTTCTCTACATTTTTGTGGTTGTACCAGAAAATAATTATCATCAAATAATATGTTCTTTTTCTATTTCCTTATTATAGAGGTCATTTGGAGAATGTGAAAGTTTCTCTATTTCACTGCATCTTCAATTATTTCACGTTTATTTGGACGTCTTCGAAGTCGGCCGCATCAAATATCATGAACAATAATTAGGGCGGCCGAGATTATTGCTTCCATACATTTTAAACAGGTTAAGAGAAAAATCTCGGCCGACTTCGAAGACGTCGGCCGCCCAAAGTATTGTTCATGATACTTGGGACGGCCTACGTCTTCGAAGTCGGCCGAGATTATTTCTTCCATAAATTTCAAGCAGGTTAAGAGAAAAATCTCGGCCGACTTCGAAGACGTCGGCCGAGATTATTTCTTCCATAAATTTCAAGCAGATTAGAGAAAAATCTCGGCCGACTTCGAAGACGTCGGCCGCCCTAAGAATTGTTCATGATACTTGATGCGGCCGACGTCTTCGAAATCGGCCGAGATTATTTCTTCCATAAATTTCAAGCAGATTAGAGAAAAATCTTGGCCGACTTCGAAGACGTCGGCCGCACCAAATATTATGAACAATAATTAGGGCGGCCGACGTCTTCGAAGTCGGCCGAGATTATTTCTTCCATAAATTTCAAGCAGGGTAGAGAAAAATCTTGGCCGACTTCGAAGACGTCGACCGCACCAAATATTATGAACAATAATTAGGGCGGCCGACGTCTTCGAAGTCGGCCGAGATTATTTCGTTCAAGAGACTGCAGCTTCATACCATGTTAACACAAAACAAGATAGTTTC